AAATTTATTTTCTTTTATTTTATAATAATTTTTGAAAACAGTAATAAAATAAAATATTATTTTTCAAATATCCCGACATGGCTCCACCGCACCGAGGGAAAGAGAAAGCGATAGGGATGTTTCACCGGTCGGTTTTAGGGTTGTCAACTTTCAAGAAATTAAACGAACAATGACAGCGAAAAAAAATCCTTAGTGACTTGTCAACACTGATAATAAGAAAAAATGATATCCAGTGGGTTATTTTCACATCAAACCACTGTGACTTGAAGCTATGGATGTCATACATGTAGCCAGAAAATACGTCATGAAAACCCGAAGACGCGGCAACCCTACGCAGCCAACTCTCTCCCACGTCGGGAGAGATCGAGGTGTTGCCATGATAATATTAAATTGTGCCGAAATAATTATAATACGTATTTATTTTAGAATTATATATTTTTTTATTATTTAGGTAGTGTCCTCTACCGCTTTTTATTTTAACTTCTGAAATGTTTTGAATCATATGCCCTAATATTGAATTTTTCTATCCATCTTAACATACTAAAATAAGCAATAAAATGTTCTATAAATGTCATAGCAAAACTTGTATGCGATATTTCAATATACATTGTATTACAAAAATTAATCCAATAAGAATCTAGTTTTTTTGTTAGCCTATTACAATTTTCAAAGTGGAATATTCTCCCAAAAATTTCAGGAAAATTTTGCCTTCACCAACATTTGGGCGTTGGAATAAATTGAATTCACCCCATCCCCTAGCCGATCTCGAACATTCTATCCCGTTCCAGCGTTATTCTATTGATTTACTGAGCGTTCTCTCGATTCTGGATTCTGATTGGACGATCCTGGAACTTCGCAGCTTTTCTTCCAGGACCGTGCTATATAAAAGCTAGGCAGCCGGCGTGGTAGCCATAAGCCCGTGAGCATTCAGCTCACGGGCACCTCCCGCCGTGGATATGGGAAGGATATTAATACAGTTGGAACCCACTGTCTCCGATTCGTATTGGGCTCAAGCAAGTCATCATCCATCAGTGCAAATGTAATCGGGAGAGTGTGTTGGTGCGAAGATGAAGGGCCACGGCGTTGGAGGGCCAGTCTCCGAGAGAAGAGACGGGCCCGCCGCCCCTGACCGACGGTGGGCCCGTCATACACAATGAAGACATCTCCGTTAGTTTTGTTTGAAATATTAATAATAATATTTCATTCAAAATTAACTTTATGGAGGAATAAATAGTGTTAAGTGCTTGTAACATTAAAATGAATATCATTGTTTTAATGTTACAAGAATAATTGGTGTTACATCCTTACATGTTACGTAACATGTACTAAAATAAAGAGATATTAAAAAATTATTAATACGACTTCTGTGTTTTATTTATTATGTCCCTAATTGTTCATAATTTAAATTCACTTACACATTCCTATATTTCTATTTCCAATCACTAATATTAAATTCAATAATAACATTTGTTAACATTTTATGCGTTGCGATGTTCATTTGCGATTTACTTTGTCAATTTATATTTGGGCGAAGGTGAAATGCATCTAATCTAATTACTATGACTATAATATTATGATATAAAAGGAAAGTAATAAAAAATACGCATCTTAATAATCTTATATCTTATCTTACTAATATTATAAATGCGAATGTTCAGATGGATGGATGTTTGTTTGAAGGTATCTCTTAAACGGCTTAATAGATCTTGCTGAAATTTTGCATAGATGTAGACCTTAAGATGGAAGAACACATAGGGTACTTATTACGTTTTTTAAATACGGGCGGAATCACGGGCAGTTAAGCAAATAAAATAAACGAATTGTTAACCTGTCAGGTGAAATAGCTAAATTTATCAATTTTAATAACTTGAAAATTACTTTTTTACTAACTAGAAAGAATTCTCCGTAACATATATGTCTCGTAAATCCACAGACTACTAAAAAAAATCTTAATTATGAAACTAAATCTTCATTTTTACGAGTACAATTAAAAAGTAATCGTTTTATCGATCTAAAATAAAGATTAAAAAAAAATATGAAAAAGTTGCGACGAAATAAAACAATCATTAACTCTTATGTTTATTACTGTATAGTCCATACATACAACTTTATAAAATACTAGCGGACCCGACGACGTAGTCCTGTCTACACGTCTTTAATTTAAATAAATTAATATGAAGTTATTATTTGATGAAAATTGTGAATCTAAACCATTTCCAGATCCCCTTGGACACACACAAAAAATTTCATCAAAATCGGTCCAGTCGTTTGAGAGAAGTTCAGTGACATACACACTCACAGAAGAATTATATATATAAAGATACGATGACTATAAAATAATTTTTAACTTAGTTTTTTTTTAACTTTATTTTTTGTTTTTCTCTTGCCACAATAAAGGTTAAGCTTGATAAACCTCGAATGGTTGGTTAGAATTCAGAAATATATGTTTTAAATACATAATATAACCACATCAATCGAGAGATCAAAAATTCCATACAAATTAAACATAATAGAAATTCTAATAGTATTTTTAGGGTTCCGTACCTCATAGGAAAGAAACGGAACCCTTATAGGATCACTTTGTTGTCCGTCCGTCTGTCTGTCAAGACCCTTTTTCTTTAATAATTTTATTAAAATTAATATTATTAAAATGCTAGTTGTCGCTCGCGACTATGTCCATGAGAGATTAAAAAAAATAATCAGTTTATGTGTTCTTCCAGGCTATGCTCTTCATCTATGCCAAACACTATGTTAATATCTTTTAAAAACCATCCATCCATCCTAACATACGCATTTATAATAGTGGTAGATTTAAACATTTGCCGCCAGTAGGCTGGTAAAACGATGGTTGATAGTTCAGTTTTTCGTTATGGACGACGACGACTTTATATTTGTCTAACTTACATTGATTTATCAAAGCAAAATACAGTTTTATAACATAAAATACCTACGTACCGTCCGCACTAGCTACGTACCGCCCGCACTAGCTACGTACCGCCTGCACTAGCTACGTACC